CGGGAGACGGGGCCTCGCAACTGATCGCTGTCGCCCCCCCCCCGACGCAGGAGATGGGTCGCCACGACGACCTGTGGTCGCTCTTCTACATGTTGGTGGAGTTTGCGGTGGGCCAGTTGCCTTGGAGGAAGATCAAAGACAAGGTGGAGCCCCACCCCCAAGGCGTTTGCGCGTCGGCGTTTGCCGTCGATATTCGTTCCGCTAGCGGGCGGGGTTGCGGTCGTCCGCTTCCCTACCCGTTCCGATCCTCGGGCGCCCACCCGGCGATGGGCTTCGGGCGTCTCACGCGCCGTTTGTGGTCTAGGAGCAAGTGGGCCAAATCAAAGAGCGCTACGACCATCGCATGTTGCTCAAACACATGCCGTCCGAGTTCAACGTCTTCCTGGACCACGTCCTCGCCCTCGACTACTACACCAAGCCCGACTACCAGGTGAGCTTCCGTTGCGTTCCGCTCTCGGTTTTCGGATGGGGAGCCGCGACGGGCGTCCGGGCCAAAGACGGCTGCGTGCGTGTGCGCCCCTCAGCTGCTGATGTCGGTGTTCGAGAACAGCATGAAGGAGCGAATCGTCGCCGAGAATGAGCCTTTCGACTGGGAGAAAGCCGGAGGCGACGCCGCCGCGTCCGCCGGCGCCTCCGGCCAAGCGCAGCACAACACGCGGCCCACCGCCGCCATGGTCGGGTAAGCGGTCCGCCGCGTCTGAGCGTGCGCGTGCGTCCTTGACCCCCGGGGGGGGGCGCTGCGCGCTGCAGGGCCATCGTGACGCCGCTACCCGGAGAGCCTCAGCGCGAGAACACGGACGACGTCCTCCAGGACGAGCACCTGAGCGACCAGGAGAACGCCCCGCCCGCTCCCCCGCCGGGCCGCGCCCCCTGCGAGCCGGGCGAGGCCTGGGAGGACACCGACTTCAACCGCAACAGACTCAGGATCAGCTTGAACAAGGTCTGCCCGGAAGGGATCCCGAGCCGGGCTGGCGTCCGCCGCCGCTCACCGATGTGTCCGTAGGAGGAGGAGGAGGCGGCGGCGGCGGCTGGTCACGCCCCCCGTCCGGTGTCGCCTGTTCGCGGCGGGGCTCCCGATTCGCCCGGCGGTCCGGGCCGCTCCTTACGATACCGCCGAGTCAACAGCCCCGAGTCGGAACGGCCGTCCGCCGCCGAGGGACGCGGGGACGCCTGCGGACAGAGGTGACGGCGAGTTAGCTCCGCCCACGGGCTCCGTCGGGCCCCCCCCACCCCCGAGCTAACTTCCGTAAGCCTCTCAGGTCTCGCGCGGACGCGCCGGGCTCCGACCAGGAGGCGCACAGCAACGCTTTCATCCGCTCCGTGCCGCTGGCCGAGGAGGAGGACTTCGACAGCAAGGAGTGGGTGATCATCGACAAGGAGGCGGAGCTTCGAGACTTCCACCCCACCACGTCGGGCACCACCGACGAGGAGCCCGAGGAGCTGCGCCCCCTGGAGGAGCAGGACGAGCGCAGGAAGGCCAAGGCGGCGGCAGGTGAGCCGAGAACCCTCTCGCTGCGTGCCGCGCCGCGCCGTGCCGTCGCCTCAGCGCTGTCGTGTGGCGTGCCGCTCAGGTGCGGATTCGGCGGTCCGCCCCAAGACTCACGGCCGCGGATGGCCGC